TGATAAGACAATTTTAAAATGAGCATAGTATCAATATCAAATGAGCATACACAACTTACAAAATGCTCATTGATATGTTCGTTTAGTGAGCAACAAATCTATTCTATTGAGCATTTAAGAATCTAATGATGAGTATCGTGATATCGACTTTACATCTTATAATTCACTTTAGGATTTCATAAATTAAACTTTGCAAATCTGAAATTGAAAGAAGTACAATTTGAGGTGCAAATTAAAGAACGAAAGGAACGTGAGAGGGAGATTTACTATTGTGGTGCAGGGGAAGAGAAAAGAAAATTAAAAAAGAAAAGAAAACGAAAGTGAGATTCAGGCTGTTAGAGACGAATTGAAGGAAGCAGTAATGGACTGATGGTGCTGGACTTCCAGTGAAGATGAAGAAATATGCCATTCAAATTTCTTTTCTTTTAATAATTTATACTGGTTTAGCAAGTCACAGGTAACCTGGACTAATTTGGGAAGGGTGCTAGTATATTTGAGATTATTTTTGAATTATGCGTACTTGGGATTAATATAAGAAGATCTCGAATAGTTGGGATTATTTTTGTGAATTTTTCCTAAATAAAATGGATTTTACTCAAGACAGGACTAAAATCATTTATCTATTTCAAAATAGGATTATCATGTTTTTTATTAATATCTACATTGAACGCATATGAATCGAACGTGTGAATTTAATGCAATATTATACTTTTCAGATATTGATAAATATGACATTTTAAAATGAGCATTAAATTAATACCAAATGAGCATAAATAAATTACGAAATAAGCATAAAAATTTCAAAAAAACGCATTTAAAAACTCTACTATGCTCAAACTTTAATTTTTGTATCTCATTTGAAATATCTAAATGCTCAAGTTTTCATTTGTGTACGCTCATTTAAATTTTCAAATATTCTTAAATATGCATTTATGTATGTTCATTTCTTTTATTCATTATGCACATTTATTATAAACACTATACTCATTTTCAAAGTGACAAAATTAATGTTGATAATTATGAAGTTGAAAATATCAAAACACAATATTAAAATTCAAAATTAAAATACAAGTTAGAAAATTGTGGTAGTGGGGTTTGAGAACTTAATATGTGCAGTTTCTTTCCTCTCCAAAGTACGGACGAAATATTTATTTGGGCAAAGGCCACTCAGTGATTCTCTCTTCAATCGAGTGGCCTCCTCCGTCGTTTCTCAGGAACTCAACAAGCACCACCTTCATCGACTCCCAAATCACAATAAGCCGCGAGCAGCACCTTGATATCATCCTCATCAGACCTTTTCCATCGTTTCCACCGAATCGTCCTCGGACCCCTTCCAATTCAACGACTCAAGCCAACATGAAAGAAAGACCGTATAAACTTACCATTGGATTTGTAGATAATTGCAAAAATACCCAGCTGTACGGTGAGCACCGTACAGCCGGCTGTATGGTATAATTTGCGGTTTGCGCGTATACAAAGTGTAATGTAACAAGGATATCCTCTCATGTATCTTTACGAACATATATAGTGATGACATTTTGATCATTGAGAACAGTGCTGGACTCGGGCCGGTTCGGGCCCGGTTCAGGCCTGGGCCCGGCCGGGCCTCGGGCCTGGAAAGTTGGGCCCGAGCCCGAACCGCCGGTGGGCGGTTCCGGTTCCGGGCCAAACCGGGCCGGGCCTAACCGGTTATAATTTTTTTTTTGGCTCTTCTATTTAACCCCCAACCCCTCCCCCTCAACCCCAAACCACCCCAAACCACCTCAAATGTCCCAAAATACCTAATCCAACCCAAAATTTTAAAAAAATTCAAAAAAAAAAAAAAATTAAAAACCGGCCCGAACCGGCCGGGCCGGTTCACAAAAAACAGGGCCCGAGCCCGAACCGCCCAGCAGCCGGGCCGGGCCGAACCGAACCGGTGGACCCACCGGGCCCCGGGCTGGGCCGGGCCAAACAGTAACCGGGCCGGGCCGGTTCCGGGCCGGGCCGGGCCGGTTCCGGACCGGGCCGGTTCCGGGCCGGGCCGGTTCCGGGCCGGGCCGCCCGGCCCGAGTCCAGCACTAATTGAGAATATATGATATCCTCTCATTTAAATGTGTGAAATTAAGAGTGATTGTCCAAATCTGTAGAGTGAAAGATCTAGATGAATCTTGTTATGTCTTTGAGACTAAGATCTATAGAGACATGTTTAATTAGACATCACCTCTTTCACAATCCACTTATATTTGTGGAATAATGGAACAGGTTACCCTCAAAGGAGCCCTGATAGATGAATATATAAAGAATAAAATATCCAAAATACAACTGGGCCAGAATAAGCCCAATATAACTATTACAACCCCTCAAGCTGTGCGGGAGATACAACGCGCAGGTTGTCCTTAAGAAAATTAAACTGCTGACTAGAGAGACTTTTTGTAAAAATATCAGCAAGCTGAAGATGAGTAGGAACATATTTCACAATCAAATCGCCATGTGCTACTCTCTCATGAACGAAATGATAATCAATCTGAATGTGTTTACTCTGAGCATGCTGAATAGGATTTGCTGTTAGATAAGAAGCTGAGTTGTTATCACATAATAGCTGCACAGGTGCCTTGATAGGAAAACCAAGCTCAAATAGTATGGATCTGATATGTAATGTGTCTTGGACAGTATAAGCTATAGCACGATACTCAGCCTCTGTGGAAGACTTGGAGACCGTGGGCTGCTTTTTGGACTTCCAGGAGACAAGATTAGGACCCAAGAAAACAGCAAAGCCAGTAGTGGAGCGAGAGCTATCTGGACAGCCCGCCCAATCAGCATCAGAATAAGCCATAATATATGTAGGTCGGTCAGATGTCTGGAGCCACAGTCCATGATCTAGAGTACCTTGCAGATATCGAAAAATGCGCTTGACAGCAAGCGAGTAGTACGGGGGGCATGCATAAATTGGGACACTAAATGTATTGCATAAGTAATATCAGCAGGCTGTGCCAAAGTTAAATACTGTAATGCACCAACCATACGACGATACTCAGTGGCATCTGTAAGAAGCTCACCATCAATGAGAGAGAGAGAGTAGTACGTGTAGCAAGAGGGGTACGCACAGACTTAAGAGTATGTAAGTGAAAACGAGTGAGGAGATCAGACACATATTTTTGCTCAGACAAAAACAAACCTTTATGAGTCCGAACGGCCTGGACACCTAAAAAATAACGCAGATCACCCAAATCTTTCATAGCAAAATGATTAGCTATTACACGAATAAAGGAGTTGACAACAGAAGAAGAATTACCAGTAATAATTATGTCATCTATATATAATAATAAATAAATAATAGAATTATTCTGGCGAAAAATAAACAACGAATTATCAGACTGACTACATACAAAACCATGAGTAAGGAGAAAACTACTAAAGCGATGAAACCAAGCTCGCGGTGCCTGTTTGAGACCATAAATAGCCTTACGCAAACGACATAAATGATGAGGGAACTGAGGATGAATAAAACCGCGAGGCTGGCGCATATAAACCTCTTCTGTCAAATAGCCATGCAAAGAGGCATTTTTTACATCTAACTGACGCACAACCCACCCGAAGGAAATAGCAAGAGTAAGAACAAGACGAACTGTGGTGGGTTTAAGAACAGGACTAAAAGTCTCAGAAAAATAAATACCGGCTTGTTGATTAAAACCTTGAGCTACTAACCGTGCTTTATAGCGCTCAACTGCACAATCTGAATGATACTTAGTCTTGTAAATCCACTTAGAGCCAACCACATTTTTAGTAGCATCAAATGGAACTAATTCCCAAGTATTATTTGAGATAAGAGCATTAAATTCCTCAGCCATAGCCTCACGTCATTTAATATGTTTATTAGCCTCAGTAAAACATGTGGGATCAGCAGAAGTAACAACTGTGTTTAAACTAAAAATGGATTTAGTGAGTGGCATAGGAAGTAGGTTGAGTGAGTGGCGGGGTCGAGGTTACTGTAGCAGAGGGTGGATTTAGTGTGTTAGTTTCGGTTGTATGGAGTGGACTGTCAGTAGGTGTAGTTTCGGTTGCATGGAGTGGACAGCCAGTAGGACTCTTGGGAGGGGAAGGTGGAATAAAAGGCGTGGGGCTCCTGGGAGGTGAAGGTGGAGTAGAAGGTTGTTGGGGCAACATGGTAGCAGTAAATGTAGAACTGGTGCTATTGAGAGAAGAGTGGGATGATTCGGACATATGGTTTGAAGCTGGAGAAAAAGATGATGAGGTCTGGTGATCCAACGTGGATAGAGGCCAGTTGGTGGAAAGGGTGGATGGGTCGGTAAGGGAGGATTTTTCAGGCAGAGGGGAAGGACAGAGAGTGGGAAAGGGAAAGGAATTTTCATGGAAACGAACATGACGACTAATATATATTCTGCCAGATTTAGGCTCAAGACAACGATAACCCTTATAACCGGAGGCATAGCCAAGAAAAACACACAAAACAGAACGAGGAGAAAGTTTATTTGAGGAAGAAGCGGAGATATTGGGAAAACAAGCACACCCAAACACACGTAGAAAAGAATAATCAGGAACTTGCTGAAAAAGTTTTTCAAAGGGAGATAAGCCAGAGAGGACAGGAGAAGGTAAACGATTAATAATGTATGCAGCCGTAAAAATAGCATCAACCCAAAAACTACTAGGAATAGAGGCATCAAGAAGCATAGTCTTAGTGAGTTCGAGAAGATGACGGTGTTTGCGTTCTGCTACCCCATTTTGTTGTGGGGTCTCAGGGCAAGATTTTTGAAAATAAATGCCATGTTCTTCAAAAAATTGTTGCATACTAAAATTAACAAATTCATCCCCTCCATCACTTTGAAAAATTTTAATTTTAGAATTAAAAAGATTCTCAACCAAGGCTTTAAAATTTTTAAAATGATGAAAAACTTCATTCTTTTTACGCATAGGATACAACCAAGTAAACCTAGAAAAATCATCAATAAAGGAAACATAATATTTAAAACCCAAATTGGATAAAACAGGAGACTGCCAAACATCAGAATGAATTAATTGAAGAGGCATAGAAGTAGTATGACTAGCATCCATAAACAGTAATCGTTGTGATTTGCCTAACCGGCAAGAAATACAATCATGGGAAAAAGTTGAACTACTACAAATATGTTTGTGTTTACTAAGAAGGCGTAAAACATGTTCGCCACAATGTCCTAATCTACGATGCCAGACTGGACCAGATGTAGTGACTGACGATAAAGCTAGAATAGGTGACTGGGCCAAGGTAAGAGGATATAGATGACCGTCGCTAGTTGCTTGAAGAAGGACCCGCCCCCGAAACTTTGTTCTTTACAAAAAAGAATTTTTATCAAAAATAGCAACACAGTTGTTATCCGCACACAATTTTTGGATAGAAAGTAAATTAAATTTGAGATGAGGCACATGATAAACAGATTTTAGCACAAGGGGACGACTGATAGTATTTAAAGTAATATCACCAATATTAGCCACAGAGAGATTAGAACCATTAGCAACACTAACAAATATGGGGCCATTATAAGGGAATTTATTAACTAACATACCTTCATTCGGGGTCATATGAGCTGAAGCCCCAGAATCAGGGTACCATAAAACATGATTAGCATCGCCACTAGGAGTCAGTAAGGCCGGTGTGGATGAAGAAGAAAATCGAGAGGGACAATGCATAGCGGAATGACCTACAGAAAAACAAATCTGACAGACAGTGGGAGAGGGAACAGACCCAAGAACTCCCTCAGCAGATGGAAAGACTGCATTTCCAGAGTTAGTACCAAACGTATAGAAGGAATTAATATTTAAAGTTGATACAACAGAATTACTAGCAGTACCTGAAGTGCCCGATCGTGGAGGGACCGCACCCCCTGGAGCAAAAGCCGGCTGCTGACCGAACTGAGGTGGATGCTGGCCGAGCTGGATAGGTGGCTGACCAACCTGAGGCTGCTGCTGGCCATGAGGTGCTGCCGGACCAGCCTGCTGGTAATGCTGGCCGTTGTTGAACCGACCTCTCCCACGACCCCCCTGCCGCGGCCACCGCGAACTCGGCCCCCTCTGCCGCACGGTGCGTACGCTGGAGGTTGTTGACCAACGGCTGGGACTGCCCCAAAGGCCTGGTGAATGGTGGCAGCCTACTGCCGGTTGTACAAAACACGTTGTTCTTGCTCTAATAGGGGTTCCAAGATATGAAACGGAAAACTATCCGGAAATAAAGTAATAGTACCCACCAAAGACTCATATTCAGGTCCCAAACCCGAGATAACATACTCAAGTAACTCCTTATCCGTGATAGGAGAATTGATTGCAGCAAGAGCTTCAGCCATAACTTTAATATCCCTCAAATAATGTTCCATGGATTGTGATTCTTTCTTTTTATTGTGAGATAATAAACGACGAAGCTCCATGGCACGGGGTAAACTAGCAGACATAAACCTACTTTGTAAGCGCTCCCAAATTTCTCGGGAATGCTTAAGATGATGAACATCAACTAAGACATCCCTAGTCAGAGTCGCAAACAACCAGGAACGAATGGTTTGATCCACACGCAACCAGTAATAATATTCAGGATTACTGACTTGCCGACTAGTACAATCAGTAGTAGAAAGTGAAGGTACCTGAATAGAACCATCAAGCATGCCAAAGAGACCCTGAGACACCAAGAAAGACTCGAATTGGGTGCGCCAGGTGAGATAATCTTCAACGGCCTTTAGCTTTATAGTAACAATTTGAGCAACCGTTGTAATGTGGGATACTGATTGTGCCATGGCTGCCATAGGAGACCCGAAAATTGAGGAATCAGTGGGACGAATGATGCCTGGGGAGCCACTGAATGTAGGGCCGAAGAACGTTGCACTGCTCCCAGATGGTTGCATCAGACCGGAGGGCTGCTGCGGTGGAGCAATTTGCCAGGGAGACGGACTCTGTGCTGCGAACTGAACCTGGGCAGAAGAGAACACCGGACCTGGAGGTTGCAAAAGCGGAGCAATCTGCCATGGAGCCGTGTTGGAGGCTGGAAATTGGGTCTGCGCAGGCTGGGCTGATGTTGGAGCCGCAAGCGTCGGAACTGGAACTACCTGCCATGGAAATTGAGGAGTTTGCACCTGCGCTGGAGAGGACTGAAATGGGGCCTGCTGCCACAGAACCTGAGGAGGCTGAACCGGAGCGGTCTGCCACGGGAATTGAGGTGGCAAATCGTTGAAAAGGCTGTAGGTGCTCGTCGAAGTGCAGGGAGAGGAGAATTGCTCAGAAATTTGAGGCACCACAGATGAAATAGCCGGCTGCGTCATCGTGGAGGAGATGACGCCGATGGAAAGACTTGTTGTGGCTGCTGCAGCAGAGACGGAGGAGAAGAGAGCATCGGTTGATGATGATGCGCCGATGTGTGGCGGTGAGGAAGTATCGACCGAAGACATGGCCGGAAAAAAAAAATTATAAACCTAAACTCTTGATACCATGTGGAATAATGGAACAGGTTACCCTCAAAGGAGCCCTGACAGATGAATATATAAAGAATAAAATATCCAAAATACAACTGGACCAGAATAAGCCCAATATAACTATTAATATTGACAAAACCCTACAATAATTTAGAATGTAAGAATCGAAGAAAGGATTCCTCCCAATGGATTATCTAAGAAGGATAGTCCTTCGTGACAAAATCAAACGCATGAAAGCGATTCCATATGCTTCTATTGTTGGATCAATTGTATGTTACGACTTATATTAGGTATATGAAATGTACGTGATTAGGCGCTTATTAAGGTTTGTTGACATAAAAAACAATCTAGGAAAACAATATTGGAGTGTTGAAATAAAAAAACATCAAGATAGTCTGACAGATGCTTCCGACTAATACCGGTGATGACTATAAATCACAATCAGGGTAAAGTTTTGAGCAAGAGATTGCTAGAAATGTGACTACTAAAATTAAATACATTGCTACAGTAGATATAATTAAGGTGAGAGTTTGGATATATAAGTTCCTCAATAAAATGAACATATTTCCAAACGAGAGTAGTCTATTAAATATTTATTGTAATAATATTGATGTTGTTGCACAATCAAAGGAACCAAGATGTGATAGAAAGCCCATAAATGTGCGTAGATGTTAAGATGTTATTTGTGACATATAAAAAAGGTAAATGTTGCAATAGAACGTGTTCCCATACTCCCTCCGTCTGGTTAAGATTGTCCTTTTTTTTTCTTTTTTCGGGAAGTCATATTAATACTATTTCATACAAAATTGATAAAGTTTGTGTATCTCTAAAGCATTCTTATTTTCTTAATTTATTAATTCAATATCAACCACATAAACTCATCTTCTAAAAAAGTGTGTCAGTTTCTCATATCCCTATGTTTGTGCGAGGTTGATAGTACTCCGTAATACTATCGTATTTATACATTATTGTTGCTTCCATTTTCATTTCACCTTTTGATCGGTCAATGGGGGCGTTTGGTAAATGACGTTTTAGCCAAAAAAAAATGGCGGTATGACCATTTTTGGCGTTTTCGATGAGTAAAAACGATGTTTGATAAATAGCTGTTCGGCACTAGCGTTTTTGGACGGAACCGCTGAAATGAAAACGCTGCAAATAGGAGAGTTTTGGGTTAGCGTTTTGAAAAATGGCGTTTTGAAAAGCAACTACCCATGTCTTGAAAAATGAAAGAAAACTAATATATTTCTGCACAGGGTTAGAATTTTCAGAACGGTTGAGAAAACTTTAAGGAAGTAATATTATACGCGGATACATGCAGGGAGAGAGAGAGAGAGGGGGGGTGTGGGAGAGTCAAATGAATGAATTATATAGAGATGCAGAGAATGCGAGAGATAATATAACGAGATTTGTGGAGAGGAATAGGTGGATTCAGTGTTGCTTTTGATCCACTTGATGGTTCAAGCATCGTGGACACGAACTTCACAGTAGGGACCATCTTTGGCGTGTGGCCCGGGGATAAGTTAACCGGTGTTAAAGGGAAATCTATGGTTGAAGGGGCCGGTCTTTAAAAATTTTACACTGCAGGGGCCAAAGTTTAAAATATCAACATATTTTCTATAGATTAAAAGTATTTATACATGATATATACTTAAGAATTTTTTTCTTGCAGGGGCCGTGGCCCCCTCCAGCCCCTCCCTGTCTCCACCCCTGTTCGGACCTCGCACTACCTACGTTCTTGCTCTCAATGATGTTCCTGGAACACATGAATCCTGACTACGCTAAGGTTTTGAACACGCACCATGTTGTCTTGCTCTTTTTTCATAGTGAGAATACTGAGAATAGAGGTGCATTAATAGAAGTATATTTATTTTGTGCTAAGAATAAGACTAGTGTGGTCTTAAAAACAATAGAACAGTTGATAATTCCTGTTTTGGAGTGAAAGAGATCTTATAGGGTATGCAAAAAACAAAAATGAACTTATTAAAGAAACGTGTTACCTTGTAATTTGTATGTTTAATTCTATTTACACAACATTCACTGTTTTCATCTCTAAGTGATTTGAGGAGTACTTGAATATCTTACATGTTGTTTTGTATGAGAGCTTAATATGTTCTGAATTCGCAGCTGATAAACGTACTACTATGTGAAGGAGAAATACACCCTTAGATACACGGGAGGAATGGTGTCCGATGTAAACCAGGTGTGTCTAAACATCTTTCAATCTCACCTTCCATTTCCAACAACGTAATGCAGCTTTAGGTCTAATAAAAGGCAGACTGGTTCACATGGGCGACCCTCGCAAAACGAGGGTCCAGGGAAGGTTCCCACCACAAGGGGTATAAGGGTCAAGTCCTGCCTTGTCATTTTTTACAAAAGGCCGCTCTCAAGACTTAAACCCGTTATCTCTCGGTCACACAGACACACAAGTCTTCCCTTCTCAGCTTCTGCTTAAATATCTTTAAAAATTGCAGATAATTGTCAAAGAGAAGGGTATATTCTTAACTTCGCAGTTATCTTCAAGAATTCATTTGAACGCCTTCCCGATTGAATTGTTAGCAGAAATTTGGTATGAGTAAACTAGACTTAATGAATAAGATGTTCAAAAAATTTCATTAAAAAATTCCACCGGGAACCACCCCAAATGGCGATGTCTGGACAGAGCCTACTAAATAAGGACTTATTTGACTTTTTTGGGTTAGTACGTGGCCTTATTTGCCCCTTTTCTCTTAATGTTAAAAGAAGTTATGCCTGATGATATTCCACACAAAATTATCTTAAACGAGACTGAGTTTTGGATTCAGATTCATAATGTTCCCTACAGTCTAGTTAATCTGAGCACTGCCAGACGTGTGGGAAATTTCATAGGGGAATTTATTAAATATGATGATAACCAGAAGAGTAATAAATTAGAGCCATATATAAGGGTTAGGGTTCTTATGAAGATGGATAAATCGCTGAAGAAGGGGACAAATCTGGAAAAAAAATGTAAGAGTTTTGGGTAAATTTTAAATATGAAAGGCTACCCAATTTTTGCTTCATCTGTGGGCTTATTGGACACTCAGATAATTTCTATCCCTTAACTATGAAGAAGGCTTAGTTTTAGAAAAAAGATTTGGAATCCATCTTAGAGCGGGGAGCGGGGTGAAAACGAGCCCAACAGGAGGTAATAAGTGGCTCTTGGAGGGTTCATCGAGCTCTGCCAAAACGGGTGGCAATACAAGAGCATCTAAATCACAAAGGAAAAATAGTTGAGAAGGAGAAAGTGTCAATGACTAAATCAGCCCAAAGCTTTACAAAAGGAGGGGAGGAGGAAAAAGAAGAGGTATCTAAGAGAAGGAAGATCTGTGAGACTCAGACAGAGAAGGAGCAAGTGGAGGACACCATGGATCTGGATGGGGCAAAAAACGTA